AGTCTCCTGCCTTAACCTCCCAAGTAGCTGGGACCACAGGCGCCTGCCACAACACCTGGCTATTTTTTGGTTGCAGTCATCATTGTTGTTTGGCGGGCCCAGGCTGGATTCAAACCCACCACCTTAGGTGTATGTGGCTGGCGCCTTAGCCACTTGAGCCACAGGCACCAAGCCTTTAGACAGAGTCTTACTTTGTCACCCTTGGTAGAGTGCCCTAGTGTCATAGCTCACAGTAACCTCAAACTCTTGGGCTCAAGTGATCCTTTTGTCTCAGCCTCCCCAGTAGCTGGGACTACAAGGCTTGCCACAACACATGGCTATTTTTAGAGATGGGGGTCTTGGTCTGTCTCAGGCTAGTCTTGAACCTATGAGCTCAGGCAATCTATCCACCTCAGCCTCCTACGTGCTGGGATTACAGGCTGAGCCACGGCTCCAGGCCTGGGAAATGGTTTTTATTTTTTTTATTTTTTGAGACAGAGCCTCAAGCTGTCACCCTGGCTAGAGTGATGTGGCATCACAGGACACAGCAACCTCCAACTCCTGGGCCCAGGTGATTCTCCTGTCTCCACCTCTCAAGTTGCTTGGACTACAGGTGCCTGCCACAACATTTGGCTATTTTTTGGTTGCAGCCGTCATTGTTGTTTGGCAGGCCTGGGCTTGATTTGAACCCAGCAGCTCAGGTGTATGTGGCCACAGGCGCAGAGTTGGGAAATGTTTTTTTGTTTTTTTGTTTTTTTTTTGGCTGGGGCTGGGTTTGAACCCGCTACCTCCAGCATATGGGGCTGGCGTCCTACTCCTTTGAGCCATAGGCGCCTCCTGGGAAATGGTTTTTAAAGGCCTTGAGCAAGTCTCCTGCCAGGTTCCCTTTCTGCAGATTAGATCCCAGAGCTTGCGCCTGGAGCTGTCCACGCCAGCAGTGCTGAAGTGCGGCGGCTGCGGGAACCAGGCCCAGTAGGAGCCAGGCTTTCGAGAGCCTCAGAAAGTAGTAGAACAAAGGAACCGGTGGACAATGCCACACCCACCTGGAAGGCCCAGTTTTACCTCAGTAGACGAGGAGCACCTCTGATGTCCCTCGTGGAGAGAAACCCTAAGAAGAGATCATCTCAATGCTTCCCTTGGAGATAACATTTTTCTCTGCAGTCTGCCCTCTCCTCTGTAAAATCCTGAAGGATAACCCCTGTTTTATTTACCTTATCTTTGTGCACTTCCCACTCCTGCCTCTGTCATTCCATCCTCCCCCTCACAAACCATGTCCAGGTAAATTAAAGTGTACTGTAAAATTCAGAGAAATTCAGTGACAAGATCTGAAACAAGTGAGCCTCCCCCCTCCTCTGTCTACAAAGTCGGCTTCGGGGATCTCTCTTCTAGTTGAGGACTTGATAAAAAGCTTCCACCACCACCGCCCTCCCCCCAACACACACTGCAAACAGCAGGGTCCATCAAACATGAACATCCCCCTCTCTGAAGCTAGCAAAGGCAGGAAGGGCAGGGCCGCTGCCTACCCTGTACCTGATGTGAAAGCAGAGGCCACCCCAGACTCAACTCGGAACCTCAGGCCTCACTTTCCCTTTCCCAGCCTAGAAGCCCAATTACATTTGAAGATCGCCTTCCTTTCCTGGCGCAAACTCCCAGCAGCTCCACCCTATGCAAGAGCCCGGGAATTATCAGGGGTCAGCAGGGCCCAGACTGGGGGGCCGAACACTACAAAGAGAAAGCCGTGCTGCGTGGAGGGCCCAGGAGCACAGTGGGATGGAAGGACTAAGAAGCCACGCTGATGGGCGGGTGGGACCAAAGGCCAGACCACAGGACCAGTGGGAGTTGGGGTGTGAGAACGCGGAGCTCACCGATGGCTGCCTCCTTGAGCTGGGTCATATGTTCCCGCAGCACGTCGGGGTCCCGGGAGCTGTAGGGCCCCAGCTCCGGGTAGAAGCTGGAGCCCAAGTCGTCTGGGGGGCTGTGGCGGCCGCGGGGGTAGCTGGCCGAGATCTTGGGGTCCCAGTGCGGCACCATGACGTGGTCCCAGTGAATGTAGTGGCCCTCGCGCCGCGGGCTCCCGTACCACGAGTAGTAGAAGGCGTGCAGGTCCGAGTAGACGCGCAGACTCTGCCCGGGGGCGGGCTCGGCCTCCGCGGGGGCTGGCCCAGGAGAGCTGCCGGGGTCGGCCGTGCGGGGCGGCGGCGGCGGCGGGGGAGGCGCGGCTGGGGCGGCCGGAGCGCGGGCTGCGGGCGCGGGGGCCCCCTCCGGGCGTCGCTCAAAGGGCGCCAGCTCCAGGCCTGGGCCCAGCGCCGGGAGTCCGTCCGGAGCCTTGAGCGTGCGCAGGCCCATGAGGGTGCCGAAGGCGAAGAGCAGCACTAGGAACAGCGCGATGCAGGCGCGGCGCCGCCGCCGGGCCATGGCAGCCCCTGCGCTCCTCTCGCCCGGCCCGGCTACCTCCCCGCGCCCCGCGCCATGGCCGCCCGCCCGGCTCCCGCGCGCCGCGCAGTCCGCACGCGTCCCAGGGAGACGGCGCACCCAGCGCCCAGCGCGGCGTGGGCGGCTCCCTGCTCCTCCCCCGCAATGCGGGCGGGCCCGGCACACAGAGGATGCAGCGGCGCAGACCAAGTGGTCGCGAATTGAGGGGGGGGCCGGACAGAGAAGCCGAAGAAGGATCGGGAACTGCGAGCTCTGGGGCCAACGAAGCAGAGGGTGGGGAGGGGAAGAAAGCGAGCGTCCATGGTGGCCTCTACCCAAGGTCTCCTTCTGCACTGATTCCTCCTTACTGACTTCTCTGACTGCCCCATCCCAGTGACCACCCTAATTTGCCCTCGCCCCTCATCCCTCCCTCACGCTCAGGCGGCCTCTGAAACCCGGGAAGGGCCGTCGGGACATCCCGAACAGTCAGACCGACAGACACTGGCCAGGCCCAGAAGGTGGAGGGAGCCTTTGACTTGCGCAAGGTCACACGGACAGGCCGAAACCCCAGGGTCAGAACTGGCTCTCAGAGCTCTTTGCACCGTCCCGACTGCCTGGTTTCAGGCCTGTTGTCCCCAGCGGCCTCTTGGAGAACTTCCTCCGAGTGGGTGCGGATAGACGTGGTGATTCCCGTAAATCACTTCCCACGGGCCCGACAGAGTTAACTCCTCAGAACATGCGTGCCTTTCTTCTCGGACTCTGAGCTCCAGAGGGCAGGGCCCCCCTCTTATTTACCTTTTCTGACACCACCTGCTGCCAGAACAGGCTCTGGCCGTTGGCCTAGCACCAGACACTGGCGCGGTAGTCCACAGACAATAAGTTTTCCACTCAGTATTGACCAAGTTCCTACACTGCATCACTTATTAGTTCATTTATTCAGAAGATAGTTTTGTTTATTGTCTGCTCTTTTACTGGTCCATGATGACAGGAACTTTTTCTCCCAATGGTTGCTCTATCTACAACATCTAAAACAGAGCTTGGTATGATAATAGTAGACGCTATTTCTTTTTTTTTCTTTTCTTTCTTTTGTTTTCTTTTCAGACAGAGCCTCAAGCTGTCGCCCTGGGTAGAGTGTCATGGCATCACAGCTCACAGCAACCTCTCACTCCTGGGCTTAAGAAATTCTCTTGTCTCAGCCTCCTCCAAAGTAGCTGGGACTACAGGTGCCCACCACAATGCCCGGCTATTTTTTGGTTGTAGTTGCCATTGTTCTTTGGCAGGCCTGGACTGGATTCTAACCTGCCAGCTCAGGTGTATGTGGCCGGTGCCTTAGCCACTTGAGCTAC